GAGGCCGACGTCCTCATTTTCCTGGGGAAGGTGCTCCGAGCAGATGCCACACTTGCAGAACGGACGGGTGGTTTTCCGGCGCGCATCACGGCCGCAGTTTGCACGGCACTCTGCCCCAGCGAAGCCAAGGTCACAGATAGCGCTGCAGAACCTCGGATGCTAGCAGGTATGCTGTCTGAAAGCAAGGCAGCCCAAAACCCCAGCAAAGACACTTGCGCGCCTTTTCTGTGCATTGCTTGAGCCATCCGACGTCCATGGTCAAAGGCTTGTTCAGCTTCCGATCCACAGCCAGCAAACACATGTTACTCTTCTGCTTTCACACCCGTAGTAGTTTTCTGGCTTGGATCGGGCTGCATGCATATGCTCTCGCCCCTCATAAGGCGAAGGATCGGGCTGTGTGCCACAATCCGCTTCGTTAAACTGTCTGCGACCATTCTGTTGGTGGTCGTCCACACTATACGTGTAGAAGCATCCTCAGGAGGCCGGTCGCTGCCCAGAGGATCACCCACTGCCTGGCCAAAGTCTCGCCAGAGTTCTTGACGGAGTGCACCGAGATCTATCGCAAGACGCTTGTCTGCCACAGATCCAGCTGCAGGGTTGAGCAGATGAGTCAGCAGACTGTAACAGTCCGTCACCCAAAGGACCCGAGTGCGGTCCTGAGCGGCCACCACCCAGGCCTCTGTGCCCAACCTGCCGAAGTTCTCATAGAGGCCGTGCACAACACCACGAAGATGTTCCGCCTCGGTGGCCCCCAGTTGAAGGGAGAGCGTTTCTGACTGCATAGTGCTGCGGCACACCCTGCGGATTATGGTGCTGTGCCATTGGACAGGGTATAAAACCCCATCCAAGTTCTGGCCGTAGTCCCTTGCCGCTAGGCACAAGACCCGGCCACTTTGGCTCCGGTGTCCCAGCTTCTGTCCAGACACACTCACGTCGTAGTCCGCGCCGTAGGAGGCGTCCTGAATCGCCACGATCATGAGCTCCTCAAAAACCATGGCCCCTTTTGGGTAGAACAGCCCCTCGCTCTTTGTCTTGGAGACGTACTTGATGAGGCCGTTGGCGTCCACCAAGTCCTGGACGATCGGCCTCGCCATGGCCGATTGCAACCTGGCAACCGAGTAGGCGATGTCCGGTCGACACACCCTGACAAGCCAATTCAGCGAGCCGATGACCGAGCGAAGCTGGTTCTTCTCGGACTCGGTAGCCAGCTGGTCTCGTTGTCCACGTCGCCGTTGGTCTAGAGCTATCGGCCGAACCCTGGAGATGAGCTCTGGGCATGTCACTGAAATCCCAAGCTTGGTCTGCTGCAACCGTCGGCCACAGTACTTGAAGTCCTCCACCTCGAGGCTACCAAAGTGGTAGGTGCGCTGAACTTCGGCCATGATCTGGTCAAGCTGCTCGTCGCCCGACCACAGAAGATCGTCGACATGTATGAGCAGAAGTCCTCGGACATAAGTAGAGCCATCTTGACGCTCCCCGTTCAGCACATAGAAGCCAGCTTCCATGGGAACTCTCCGCAGCCCATGGCCCACAAGCGTGCCATCCAAGTTCTTGAACCATCCACGCGGAGCGTCCTTCGTGCCATAGACGGTGGTGGAGACAACGATCAGGTCGTCCTCTTCCATGTCGTATGGCGCACCGCCTTTGGGCATGCTTAGCACACTTCCTGTCCAGTTGGGATCCCTGGAGAAAGGCCGCCGAAATGTCACCGGACTTCAAGGGCTTTCCTGTAGCTGCAGCAAAGGAAAGGGTCAGTCCCATGGCCACCTGGGAAGCAGTCGGAGAATCCGTCCTCATGCGGCTCGCGTCCTCCAAGTCCCCTCGGACAACAAAACGGCTTTTCAGTTTCGGATCCATTCCTTTCTCCGCCTTGTCGATGTCGACCCAGCGAGTCGGTATGACCCGCAAGCTGGGATCCTTCCGCTTCATCTCCTCGAAGTCGCTGCGAGTAATCTTCTGCATGTTGGAGTACTTCTTCCAGTTGTCCCACTCCTTGCGCCGAGTGGCATCCAACATGACCTTGACCTCCTCTGTGGACTTGTTGTAAGCGAGCTCTCGCCCTGCTCCTTGTTTCACGGCCTTCTTCTTGTACTTCTTCTCAGAACGGTTCGACAAGAACGCACGAAGCTTTTGGTTCGCCTCCTTCCTAAGATGCACATGTTCTCGTGCCCCTTGTGGTACGGCTTCTGGAACAGAAAGATGCCCCAAACCTGGCGGAGGCATCACGGCCGGACGTGTCCTGGTAGCTGGAGATCTAGACCTCGGGTGCCCGTCAAGGTTGTCTGGAGACCGATGCAAAGCATTCTGAAGCGGTGTCATAACAGGCCCCCCCGGAGTAGATGATGCCGTCTGATCTCCTTGCTGTAGTGGAGGTGCATCTATCGCTAAGGTAGTCGTGCTTGAAGTGACCCTTCCCGGAACCTGCGAAGGCATGGAGGGAATCCCCGGAGTAGATGACGCCGTTTGATCTCCTTGCTGTAGTGGAAGTGCCGGGGCAGCAGTCGTCTCATCGAAGCTTTGTGTGGGTTCTTGTTCCGGCTGCGAAACTTGCCGAAACCCGGCACTCGGAGCTGCAGGTCGTTCTTCAGGAACTTCTTCATCCAGAACGGCCGCCTCACTCATATGCCCTGGGTCTTCGTCCTCCAGCTGAGGGCCTGCAGCTTGAGAAGGTCCAGGAAGATAAGGCTCTTCAGCCGAAGGTTGTCCGGCAGCAGACGTTTGAAAGTCAAAGAACGGTGTCTGGCCTTCCTCGTCATACACCGGGACGTCCTGGTCGAAGGGCAGGTGGTCCTCCTCGAAGATGTCGTCGTGCTTCCTCTTTACGCTGCCCCTGGTCCATGTCGGCCTCGTCTCGAGCGCCTGCTTCCGTCGGATCTCCTCAATGAACGCCGGTCGGCACGCTGTGTCGGCCACAAGGACCGTCATTCCAGCGTGCACAAGCCAAAGTGAGCTTCGTCCTTCCTGGGACAACACACGGGCAGGACCGAACCACTTGCCTCGCCGAAAGAAGCTGACCAAGTCGCCTGTCTGGTAAGGCCCACGAAGAGGTCGAGACTGTCTCAACATTGCCCGTCGCAGCCTCTGACTTGAGTCGATATAGCTCCAGGCCTCCTTGGCCCACTGCCTCGTGAGCATCTGCTTGCCGAACTCCTCCTGCTCATCCACAATGACTTGCTGAAGGCCTAGGTTCTCATTCTCGGTCTCCTGGGTCAAAGACGTGAGGTCGGGAGGAATCCTTCCGAGAACCCATTGTGAAGGCACATAACCAGCATGGTTATAGTTGGAATTCTTCACGAGGTGGCTTGATTGATCGCCGCGGAGATGCCGAACTCGCCCTCGATCTGGTGCTCTGCAATCATCCGCTTGAGCATCGCCTTGAGGATGCCACCTTGTCTTTCGGTCCTTCCGATCTGCCAGGGACTCTGTGCCCCTGCTTGCCGGATTTCCACGCCAAGGGCCCGCATCAGCGAAGAAACTTGCCCTTTGTTGTGAACTCCTTGGTCACAAGCAAAGTGCCGAGGAGGTCCCAGGAAAACCAGCTGTCACTGATGAAATTGGCGCAGCTTTTGCTTGAAGGAGTGCCGCCAGCAGCAACTCGGCCGGCAACGTGGAACTTGGTGCCCGAGTCGACCAGACTAAGCACAGTGTGCTTGGCACCGCCGCTGTCCACAATCTCGAAGGCATCACAGGTGAGCTGGTAGTTGAACTTGTAAGGAGGAGGCGTCGCAACTGATCTCGGAGGAGATGGGGCTTTCTTCTCGCTGCAGGCTTGGCAACGAAAATGACGACAAGCCGACACCACCTCCGGCGCTGTGCCGGCTGCCCGCAGCATCCGGATCATCGCTTCGTTCGAAGAGTGTCCGGTCATGTGATGGAGCCGGCGGATGGCCAGCCGCTTGCTGCGGTCTATGGCAAGCCACTTCTTCCTTCGATCCTTCTCAAGGAGTGGCTGAGCGGTCTCCTCTGGACTAATGGGAGCCGACTCTGCCAAGCCCTCTTCTCGACGAAGTTCTCGAGGATCGGCCGTCACGAAGTCCAACTCGCCAAGGTCGTCCTTGCCATGGATGGCGTCCAGGGTGCCAAACTCTTCCATCTCTTCAAGCTCGCCCTCTGCGGCAAAAACGACAGAGCAATTAAGGTCCTGCAACTCTCGGAAAGCTCCTCGCAGGACGGCCTTGCAGAGTTGTTCCGGCCACTTCGCTGCCAGCCGCGTGCGCCGTCCACCTTCCAGAACTTGATGCACGTGGTCTCCGGGACAGGTCTTGGAAAGCTCCTCCTTGATGAACTTCGAAGCTGTCAGCATCCCTGTGATTTTCGGTGAGGAAGACCGGAATCCAGATCAACAAGGCCAAACTGGCATTGATCAAAACGAACAGCTTCCAAAAGCTCCTCTGTAACGGGGTGCTCCAGTCCATAAAGCTTCTCGACGCAGCGTAGCTTCCAGAGAAGGCTGAGCCACGGGTTTTCCAAGACCACATGGCGCCCCTTTGCGGTTCGATGGCGCACCAGCTTGGCAACCCATTCCAACACCGGATACCACAGCCGTCGTTCTGCCATTATCCTCTGAGCCGTGGCGTCGTTCTTGGAAAAATTCACGAATTGCCAACTGCTCCATGGCGCACAGACCGGGGCAATGGCGGTGAGAAAGGGGTCCTCATACTCAATCTGTCCCCAAACTTGTTGGCGGACCTTTGGGTCAAGAAGATTGCCTCCATCGAGCTGGAGATCCACTGGCTGAGCCACCGGCATGCCGCATCCAACAGCCAAGGCCGTCAGAGTCGCGGCTCCCGCGAAGATTTCGAGGAGAAAGGAGCGGCAACCTCGAGGGAGTAGACGCTTCGACTTGGAGTACCCAATCTTGGGTGCTTGCAGCTCCGACCACATAGCGGCATCATGCCTGTCGAGGCGCTCGCTCTGTTCGACGAGCTGCTTCTTCTGACCCTTGGTTAGGATGACCGGCTTCTCCTCGTCAAACTTCACGAAGTCAGCAACTTCCACTCCCGCACTCAAAGCCGTCGCCTCCACATCGCTTCGATGACAGTGCGACTCATCCAAGTAGAAGTAGGTATAGCCAGTCCAGGGCCCACCGAGGTACTCCTCCACATCTCGCTCCTCGAGTCTCTGGTTCTTCCAACGGTCTCTGAATTCAGCTCTCTCTCCTGTCTCGGGATTGATGGCCACCGTCTTGCGGAAGAACGTCTCGTTCACGGTTGCCTCAATGTCATGTTCCTGCGCGGGCTCGTCTCGGGGATCGTAGAGCAGCTTGCGGGGATGCACATGATGTCGGATCCAGCATTGGTCCGGGCCCTTCTCCCAAAAGTCGTCCTCGACATCAAGCGGGGCGCCCTCATCGTCCACTGCGGTCGCCGGCCCAACAGCCGACATAGCGAAAGCTTGGCTCTCGTCACCGTGCTGCGGCAGGAGTCGGACTGCAGGTAGGCCATCTCGGTCCACTAGATCCAAATGCTGCCCGAAGACCTTGCTGTAGGCGGTCTGCTCCCCCAGGTCCAAGACAAGACCCAGCTGCCTCTGGGCACCGCAACTCATCAGCAAAGGGGCCTCGGAGCCCTCAAGCTCGGTACTCTCCACGGTTCCGTTTGCCAAGGTGCCGTCAGACAGCTGTAGAGTAATGGAGAGCACGCGCTTGCCCAGTGAACGCACCTTGCCTCCAATCCCCTTCAGGGTCTCGCTGCTCGACTCGTCCAAGGCATGGTGCTCCTGGCCGCAAGCTTTCAGGTAGTTCTCGAACCACAGAGCGCCATGACAAGTTTGATTGCAGCCGGTGTCCAGCACGGCCAGCAGATCATTCTCGGACGCACATTCCCTTTGCACCATGTAGGCAGAAGCACCCTCACCAGTCTCTCGCTGTCGTCGATGCGTGGCGTAGCGTTGGAAGTCCTGGAGGCTCCTGGCTCGGACGCCGTCGCCTTGGCTGAGGATCCAGTCCACATAGTCCGGGCAATTATCGTACACCTCCCGGAAGCTGATGCCCTTGTGCCTGCCTGACTGGAAGAGCGCTTCATCGACGATGCCGGCTCCTGGTTGTAGAGGTCGAGGGTCACCCCCGGGGGAAGAGGCCACTGCCCGGTTGTCGGCAGCATCCATCCGGAAAACTTGTGGCGCATGAGGTTCGCCTTGAGCACTTGGATGCGGTGAGGGTTGTGGAGCCGCCTTGTTCTTTGCCGCTGCCCTGGCCGGTCTGAGTCTCGGAGGTGCTGCTTGGGACATTGGCGGTCCAGCTGGGTGCCTCGCCCTGTAGATGTTGACGCAGCTTGACACGATCTCGGGAAGCCGCTCCAAGGGGACAGGTAGGCCGCCGCTTTCTTGCACCATCACGACAGTCCCGGCCAACTCCAAGACCTTGACAGCTTCAGTGTCCGGTCCTTCCATGTTCCGTGCTCCAAGTGCGCCATGTCCCATAGCCGCCGCCATCCGCTCGTTCTGGCGTCCTTCTTGTCGAAGCCCGCAATCTCGGCAGTGCCGCTTCCATACATGAGCATTTGTGCCATGGCGGCTGACGTTGCGGTGTTGGCAGACGTCAGGATTCCGGGGGGCTCCGACCTTCGGAGCAGCCTTGGCCTTCGGCTCCTTGCGCGTCCTTTAGAGAAGAGGTCTGCAGTCTCGGCACACGCGCACGTGATAGTACTGGTTTGACCCTTTTTGTGGTCACTCGCTGGTGTTGGCAGTTGCCTGCCTGAGGAGGGCGCTCTGGTAGTGAAGGAGGTGCCTCAGGTGGTAGTGGTGATTGAGCACGAAAGTCCTGATCCAACACGGGCGTCTCCTCCTCTTCCTCTTGCTCCTCGGCCGGCGGCGCCAAAGACATGGCCTCGGCAACGTCGAAGTCGTCGGGGATGTCCACCTCGTCCTCCAGAGCCATCGGCCCTGACGTGGAATTCATCCCAGAGGCCTGCAGAAGCTGATCCATGACCACACCTTGGTTCTGCTGCAGCGCTTCGAACAACATCCTCTGATCCCAGTCGTGCCCAGAGACCACCGACCAGCTCGACACAGAGGAGGGCATGCTCACCACTCGGTCCTCGCTGTTGGAACCCGGTGCCGCCGTCAGCTTTGGCACAGCCACAGCAAGCTCAGAGTTCAAAAAGTCGCCGTCGTAGGAGTCAAGGACGACGAAGAGGCCGCCGAAGATGTCGTAGTCGCCGTCGACGGAGTAGCCCTCGATGGCGGCGAAGCGTTGGCCGGTTTGGCCTTGGGCTTGGCTTTCGGTCCAGTCCAGCTCAGCATCGAAGTCAACGAGGTCGGAGCCACACCATCCAAGGAAGAAGGCGGACCTGCTGTGCCCAGAGCCGACGTCGAAGCCAAAGACTTTGGAGGTGGCACCTGGGAGTACTTGCCGTTGTACGCCATGTAGCCGGTCTTGACTTTCGGCGGGTCCTGGTCAGTGACGGCAAAGTACACGGTTCTCGGCTTGAAGCTTCCTTTACCTGGCTTCGCGTTGGTCTTGCCGCCTTTGCCGGTCGAAGTCAACGAAGAGCTTGCGGAGGAGACAGCCGGCCGCTTGCCTTTGGAAGAGCCTTTCGGACAAGTGGGGTCGCCAGACCAGTGCCCCTTCTGGCCACAGCGGCGACAGGCAGTGCGGGCCTTCAAAGCGGTGACCCGGGCCTTGCGCTCCTCGAGAGACAACTCGCCGCGAACCTCGTACTTGCCGCCAAAGCCGGAGTGTCCTCGAGACTGGGCCTGCTGTCTCGTGAAGTACGCCTCCGACTCCGCCTGCAGGACCTCGGCAGCGTACTCGGCGCTCTCCTGATCGATGTTCTCGTCCAGGCCTTCCGCGACCATGGCGGCGAAGACGTTCAGGATCGGGTCCTCGCCTTCGTACAGGTCGTAGTCCACCTCAGCCTCGTAGCCGGCGTAGTAGCCCGCGTCGTTGCCGTCGTCCGGGCGGTACTCCGAGTAGGTCTGGTCGTAGTCGCAGCCGAAGTACGCCTCGTCCGCGCCCTCGAAGGTCTCCTCGTGGTAGGCGGCGTAGCTCTGCCAAGGCTTGCCCTTGCCCTTGGAGGAGTGCTTGCCGCCTCCGAAGCGTGGCCTCCACGAAGTCGAAGTCGCCTGCCTCCGCTCCTTCAAGTGGATGGCCCCGTGGTGGTTAAGCAACTCGTCACAAACACCAGAGACCGTCAACTTGTTGCCCAACACCGTGCGCACCATCAAAGCCTGATCGTCTGATATCTTCGAGCTTTGAAGTATTTGTTCTGCTAATATGATTTCCGGCAAACGGATATCACTGTCCAGATCCTGAAGCATGCTCCACCAGGTCCTCCTGCGAAGAGTGAACATCGCCATCGGCTCTCCATGCTGCCTGCTCAGCGGGCCGTGCTCCTTCGCCCCAGCCTGGTAAAGTTCCCTTGCTTCCTGCTGACGCCGCGGTCGGAGAGTCTCGGTCAACTTCTTGACGATCAGCTCCGGCCCCTTTTCTGACGCCAGCGTCTCTGGATCCAGCTGCTTGACGATGTGAAGGGCAGGTCCCCGAAGTCCTTCCACAAGGCGGATGCCGAGAGGCCCGATCTTCTTGATCTCGGCAGGGTCCAGGTCCTTCTCCTTCAAAGCCCGCATGCGAACCCGGAAGGAGTACTCCTGAAGGTGATGAACACTCCCGTCGAAACGCGGGATGCCGTACTTGCCTTCTGTCGCGCTCTCGCCGTCCGTCACTTCCATGAAGCGAGCGAAGGAGAGGCCATCCAGCAAGGAAGCCATTGCTCACAAACTGAATCTAAAAAAGAGGTTACAACTCCAAAGAAGACTGCACCCCTTGCACAAGCGGAAACAAACTCCCAAAGGATTGCCCCTGAAAAGAGCTCGATGGCTCCGCTGCCAATCTGAAAGCAAGGCAGCCCAAAACCCCAGCAAAGACACTTGCGCGCCTTTTCTGTGCATTGCTTGAGCCATCCGACGTCCATGGTCAAAGGCTTGTTCAGCTTCCGATCCACAGCCAGCAAACACATGTTACTCTTCTGCTTTCACATGCTGGGCCTCTTCGGAAGAGGCCTTGGACATAACAGCTCTAGCGACGAAAGCGCAAGTAAGACCTCATTGAAACTATTCTGCGAGGAGCCCGTCATCTTCGCAGATAGGGTCACCTCCTGGAGCACCAGTCGTGGTTACCCCGGAGGGCGTGGTGGTCTCCTCCTCCT